GAGAGAGAGAGAGAGAGAGAGAAGAGGGAGAGAACCGGCGGGAGCCGAGGAGGGACAGAGGAGGGAGGCAATCGGGAGCTGGAAGGGTGCCCGGACGTCCCTGAGGACACCGGTTCCCCCCAATCCCCCGCCCCCGCATCCACCTCGACGCCCTGTTCGATCATCTACCGGAGAGAGAGACTGCTGCCTCCCACATTTATGAGCCTCAATGGGCGTCGTGTTTTAAAGAGAATATAGAGAATAGCACGTGCATAACACTTCTCCCACGTTCTTCCCACGATTCGCCGCGAATTTACATTCGGTGAAATAAATGGCGGTGGTTTCACCTTGGTCGTCGCGCCTTGGAATATTAATATATAATTTGCGATAGCTAGAGGTGAATGAAAATGGCAATAAATCTTGTAACTGCCTCGGCTGAACTTGTATTAAATCTCCACTATTTTGCACAAACGATACCAGTTGAAAAAAGTGTTACAAGAAAATAGTAACAATTCGCTTTTGTTATGTCGACTCGAATTTTCGATAGCTGAGAGCATTGCAGTGTAAAAATAATCTTGAGATTGTTGGCGATGCACGGTGTATAATCCGATAAATCGCTGTTATTAATGAGCTGTATCGTGAGAGCGGGCTGATTATTGCGGTTTGACAGATTGCACCGCGTTGAAATTTGTCAGCGGGAATGGGACGCGACTTGGAAAACGATCGGTGAATAGGCAAACTGCCGTCAAAGTTCTGGGTAGTGACTCGGCTCGGCTGTCGGCGGGACGCGGTTTAACTGGAAGTTGGCTCGAAGTGCAAATTAAGTTTAGCGGCCGTCCAGTTTGTAGCGTCCACTTTGCGTAACTCGGTCTAGTCGGTAATGTAACTTCATCGATGTGTTCCGCTAGAGCAAGTGCCGGCACAATCAGTCTACCCTCCTCCCGCCTCTCCCCCGGCTCTTTCCCCGCTGTATACCCGGTGTCCCAGTGTCTTTCTCTCCGCGTGTCTCTTCTATTTTCTTCCCGCAAACTCTTCCTTCCTGCGCACTATTTTCGTCTCCCACGTGGAGATTATTTCGAAAACGTGCGACTCGAAAACAATATCGATTGCTTGGGGAACATATCAGTTTGAAATTGAAAAAGTTAAGCTCGCGCAAATGGGGAAATCGAGACTCGTAGGTGATTTGATTTATGTATATATTCCTCGTACATATTCCGTGCTTGCAGTTTTACGTTATCTGTTTCTCTATTAAAGTTTTCCGTGGCGGTCTTACGTGATTTTTTGACGCGCGGAATTGTTGGTTATTGAAATCACTCTTTGTTTCTCTCTTCGCGAATAACGACGCGTACCTATGTACAAATCTAGATGTGCTGTAAATATTTTACCGGCAAATTGAGCGATTTTGCGACGATGTATCTTTCGCTGATCAGGACGCGATCGGAAAAGTAAACGAAGCGGAGGGAATCGCGTGGTAAAAAAATATCGTTCGCTTGCTCGTAGGAGGAGGAATCGAATTTTTACTTACAGGGGTGAGTCGGGGCGAAAGGATACTCCAGGGACGGCGGTAATCGCGGCGCTGGGAGGCCCGGGGGGCAGTGGTAGCAGAACATGCCTCCAGCCCTGGCCACCCCCGCGCCGCCCCCCGGCCCGCCGGCCGCTCCCGCGCCAGCACCCGGCACCTGCGGTTGACTCGACGGCTGTTGTTGCTGTTGCTGCTGTTGCTGCTGATGGTGCTGGTGGTGGTTATTGTTCGGCTGGTGGGCGTGGACCGCTCCAATCTGCAATCACACGCGGTGTGTCAGTTGATTTCATGATCTCTTGCGCGGTAAAAAAAAATGAAAGGTTACCGCAATCAGCGGTTTTGGGCGAGATTTTTTGCGCAATTGCGGAGGCTTTTACGTTGTAAAATATAAATTTTTGGACGAGATTATATAGCTTCGGTGTCGATACCATTATTGCTTGTCTCGTTAACGAACAAATCAATTCTTTCCAGATATATGAAAACTCTTTGTCTCCAATTATGATCGTTATAATTTATGCATACATTAGAATTCTTATAAAAGAATACAAATTTGCACTACTAACAACGCGAGGTTCTTTCATGATTGCGAAGATTTATCGGCGAAAACTCGGCCTCGTGGAATTATTTATAATTGATGTACTTCTAATCGCCTTACGCTCATTCTCTCATATTCAGTCAGATTTTCGGGACCCTCCTCCCCCCCTGTTGCATCGGGGTGTATCGCGGTCGCCCTCGGAAAACGGAGCATCGAAGCTACTTCCGATTTCGCCGGGCGACGCGCGGATTTTCGAAAGCGGAATGAAACATGATTAAGAGGGAGCGCGACAGCGGCGTGCTGCAGCGGGGCAGGCGGGGGCAGGGGGTGCAGAGGGGAGCGGATGGGTGGCCGATTACGCCAATCCCCATTAGAGGGATTGTAAACTCGTGTAAATAAATAATGTATGTATCGGCGAGAGAGGAGCTGCACGAGGGGAGAGAGAGAGAGAGGGAGAGAGTGAA